TGTGGCTGTCCAGTCTCCTCAATCTTGTTTGTTGAAAAGACTTTTTCCCAGTGGATATTAATCATAACCCAAGAGTAATTAGCCATATAGTTGTGGGTCCATTTCTGGGTTCTCTCATCTGTTCCCTTGATCTCTGTGTCTGTTTTTGTGCCAGTACCATTTTGTTTTGATCACTACAGTTTTGTAATATAACTCGAAGTCTGGAATTATGATGCTTCCAGCTTTGCTTTGCTTTTTTCAAAGCTGCTTTGGGTACTCAGGGTCTCCTGTGGTTGCATACAAATTTTAGGATTGTTTGTTCTAACTCTGTGAAAAGTGCTATTGGTATTTTGATAGGGATTGCATTAAATCTGTAGCTTGCTTTAGGTAGTATGGACATTTTAACAATATTTGTTCTTCCAATCCATGAACAAGATACGTCTTTCTGTTTTTTGTGTCATCCTCAATTTCTTTCATCAGTATTTTAAATGAACTTGGAAGTTTGTCTGTTTTTGTTTTTGTTTTTAATAGTTTGAGAACACTAGGCATGAACTACTTAAATGTTTGTTAAAATTCACCTGTGAGGCCTTTTGGCCTTGGACTTTTTAGGGAGTGCTTTTTGATTACTGATTTAATTTTTTTTGCTGTTTATTGGTCTGTTCGAGTTTTCTATTTCTTCCTGTTTCAGTTTTGGTAGTTTCTGTTCCTAGAAACTTATCAATTTCTTCCAGGTTGTCCAATTTGTTGACATATCATTTTTTATAATATTCTCTTATAATCGATTTGTATTTTTATGGTGTTGGTTATTTCTCCTTTCTCGTTTGTGATTTTATTTGGGTCCTTTCTCTTTTCTTTGTGGTAAGTCTGACCTAGGGGTTTATCAGTTTTCCTAAATCTTGAAATGTACCAGCTACTGGTTTCATTAACCTGTTCTATTGTTTTTGTAGTTTCTATATCATTTATTTCTGCTCTAATCTTTATTTCCTTCATTCTGCTGGCTTTGGGCTTCATTTCTTGTTCTCTCTCTAGTTAGGTATAAGGGGCAGAGGGGACAAAGAGGTGGAAATGGGGGAGGGAGGAGTAGAGGAGTGGAAGGAAGAAGAGGGGGAGAGGAGGAGGAGGGGGGAGTGGGAGTGGGAGGGGTAGGAGTAGGGGATGAATAGGGGGCAGTGGATGTAGGAATGGGAAAGAATCTGTTGGCACTGTGCTTATGCCAAAGGGCAGGGAAGAGAAATGGTGCCAGCCAGCTCCTTTGTTCCCAGAGAGGTATCTCCATGAACACTGCCTTTCAGGAACACACTCTGAGAAGAATTTCCCTCCTCTGGGCTCTGGGCATTTTTCAGATTGCTCTTTCCATGCTACCTGCCCCCCCCCCCCCCTTGTTTTCCTGCCTCTCTCCAGAAGCAATCCATGCCCTCGGGGCTCTATCCCAGCCAAGCCCACTGACCTTCAAAACTCTAGACTTTAAGCTGTGCTGGTTGCATGACCTCGCAAAATTCAGCCTATCTCACTTTCCAAGCCAGTGACTTTAGGGGAAATGGCCTCCTTGGATGCTCCCTTATGTATTATTCCTGTGTGCTCCTCTCTCTTGCCCTTCATAAGACCATGGATCCCTCTCTTCCCCTCCAAAGCACAAGGATCCATGTCTCCCCTAAACCATCCCTCCCTGTTTCCTACCTTCTTCAGTGTGATCTCTTCTTCCCCTTCATTGTGGAGTTTGTTCTGTCCATCTTCAGGCTGACTTGGGGACGGTATTGAGGATGATTGGATAGTTATCTAGTTGTGTTTGTGGGGTGAGACAAGCCTAAGGTCCTCCTATTCCACCACCATCTTTTGTCAGCAGTGTGTGTTCATAACCTCATTCCTCAGATCCTGGAGGAAGTACCCAGTGCTCCTCTAGGGGCCACACGAGGAGGTCACAGCAGAGTGCAGACAGAGCAAGTCTTTGTTTGAAGATCTATTTTGTCAAAAAGAAGTACTGCTACCCCAGCTTTCTTTTCACATTCATTTGTGTGATAAGTGCTTTTCTACCCCTTCACTTTTAATCTGCATGTGTCCTTAGGTCTAAAACGAATCTCTTGTAGGCAGCATATAGATGGGTCTTGCTGTTTTATCCATTCTGTCGCCCTCTTTTTGATTGGAGTGTTTAGTCCATTTACATTCAAAGTAATCACTGATAGGTATGTACTTATTGTGATTTTGTTGCTTGTTTTACGGTGGTTTATGTAGTTCTGTGTTCCCTTCTTCCTCTTTTCTCTCACAGTTTGCTGGCTTTTTTGAAGCATATGCTTGGATTCCTTTCTCTTTTTTTATAAATCTATTATTGGGTTTCAATTTGTGGTTACCATTAGGTTTATAACATCGTATGCATATAGTAAAGGTAATGGTTACTTATGTTTGAATCCATTCTTTACTCCTCTCCCCTCCTTGTTTTAGGGATATGGCGTCATACTTAACATCCATTTGTTTTGTGAATCTCTTGACTGGTTTTTATAGATGTACTTGATTTTACTAATTTAGTGTTTCCCACTTTTCTTACTCTTACTTATGGTCTTTCCTTTCACTCAGTCCTTAACATTTCTTGTAGGGCTGTTTTAGTGGTCATGTATTTCTTTAACTTTTGTTTCTGGGAAATTCTTTTATCTCTATCTACTCTGAATGATAGCCTTGCTGGATGGAGTATTTTTGGTTGAAAGATTTTTCTTTTAGCACTTTGAATACATCATGCCACTTTCTCTGGCCTGCAGAGTTTCTGCTGAAAAATCAGCTGATAGCCTTATGGGGTTTCCTTTGTAACTGTTTCCCCTTGCTGCTTTTAAAATTCTCTTTATCACCAATTTTTGCCATTTTAATTATGTATCTTGTTGTGGACCTCCTTGGGTTGATTTTGTCAGTGACTCTATACCTCTTGGCTCCAGATATGTTTCCTTCCCCAGATTAGGGAAATTTTTAGCAATATTTCTTCAAATAGATTTTGTGCCCCCTTTTCTCTTTTCTCTTTATGGGATCCCTATAATGTGAATGTTGTTACACTTGGTGGTATTGCTGAGTTCCTTTAGTCTATTTCATTTTTTACTATTTTTTTTTATCTCCTGTTCAGCTTGATTGCTTTCCATTACTCAGTTGTCCAGGTCACTTTTCTATTCTGCTTCTTTTAGCCTACTATTTATTCCATATAGTGTATTTTTCACTTCAGTTACTGAGGTCTTCATCTCCAATTGGTTGTATTCTTTTTGTTGATGGTCTCACTGAGGTCTTCCACTCTTTTCTCAAATCCTGGGAGTATCTTTATGATCATTACTTTATCTTTTCTATCAGGAATATTACTTATCTGTTGCATTTAGCTCTTTTGCTATAATCTTATTCTTTCATATGAGACCTATTCCTCTGTAACCTCATTTTGTCTAACTCTCTGTGTCCATTTCTCTGTGTTAGGAAAGTAACTGTGTTTCCTGCTCTGGAAAGTAGTGGCCTTATGAAGAAGAGGTCCTGCAGTGCAATGCCCCCCGTTCACGAGAATCTGATATTTCCCGAGTATCCCCTTTATTTGTCACCTTTGTCCTATTATTGTGGCTAAGCCTTCAGTCCAGGTGTCTGCAGTGGCTCTCAGTGCCTGCTGTGGCAGAGTTTGATCCCTGTGTTTTTAGTGGGCCTATCTGAGGCCATCTTGGCCTTGAGTTGAGTCAGACCAGGGGTTTGTAAAATGGCCTAGTACCAAACTGCAGGGCACTTTCCCCATATTTTCCTTTTCATAAGAAGCCTTTACTGGTGGGTGGGCCTGTAGTCAGACTAGATGTCTGTTTCTCACCCCCATCATGGGTGGCCCCACAGTGGGATTGACATATGTGGTTATCTTTCTCTTTCCCTAGAGCAGGAGTCATTTTGGACTGGTGGTGGTTCCTGTTGAGGCTGCTTGCACACTGCCAGACTTGTGATACCTCCTTGTGTGGGGTCCAGCCAAAGGAATATTGGAGTGAGCAGGTCTGTGGGAGAATGCAAGGGTGGGATGTGTGGTACCATTGAGTCAGCCACACATTTAAAATTTTATAGTAGCCTCATAAAAAGGTAAAAAATAGATTAATTTCAACATATATTGTATTCCACCCAATATGTCCTAAATATTAACATTTTAACATATCACTATAAAAAGTGAGATACTCGGCCTTCTCTTTTTATTGTGAAGTCTTCACAAACTGGTTGATGTGTTTATGCTTATCGCGCATGTAAGTTTGCACTAACCATGTTTTAGGTGTTGAGTGGCCACAGATCCAGACCCAAGTGTGTCTCACTCTTTCTTCTTCTCTTCATTCTCCTCAATTTGTGACCTTTAGTTTTGCTTGTTCTCTCAGGCAGTTTACTCTTTTTTTTTTTTCTTCTCCTGCTACTTGTGACTCAGCTTGTAGTTACTATGGCTTATCCTTGAACTCCTTGTGAATTTTGGTCTAAACTATTTTCCAAAACCAATTGCTTTTTGTCAGTAGAGAGTTGATCTCCTGGTAGGAGGCCCTCAAGGAGGTTGTCGTCTGAGATACAGGTGCTTCCTCCTTAAGTGGAGTCTATTGAAATTAAGGAAGATTATTCCATTTTTGCATATGGGGAATAGTGAATTTTATTTTGAGTTTTTAGGAGTGAGATCTGAAAGAATGAGAATGAGTGTTGTGTTTAATGAGTAATGTGTTTAAGTGTAAAATACCTGCTGCAGGTGAAAGTGTTGTATTAAAATACTCTTTAAAATTCAGATTGCATTCAAGAAGTCAAAACCATCTCCATTGCTTTGCTGCTAAAGTAAGTTACTTCTATCTTTGCAAGATCAACCACATAGTCATATTGTATTTGTATAAACACTCAACAATGTGCATCTAAAAATAATTTCAAAGTAACTTTATTTAATACAGTTTCTTTTCAGCTTATTGCAGAAAAATCTGAACTGCTGACAAATATCTCAGTGCAGTTATTTATACTTACTGAAAAATTTTAAGATTCTTTATGTTGATATGCATTTGTATAACTTTTTTTGTTAGAAACAGAAAATATGAAGATCCTCATCATTTTCCTCAAGAAGCCTATTAATGTTGGCAACAAAGAAGTGATGAAAATAGAAATCCATTTTGATTTGCAATTCAACATATCACAGACTTCCATTAAAGCTTTAGGAGAAGACAAACAGGTGGCAGATTTAGTTCTTCTTGAGTATTTGAAAATGTTTTAGCATGTTTTCCTGTCTCTAACTTCCTTGTTGGATTTTGATGTGAAACTTTGCTCAAGTGGATAGCTTGATCTTTGGAATAGCATCTAATGAGAGTTGAGAAATCTGGGTTCTAATATCAGTTCTTTTTCATATATCATTGCCTTATGTAGGTTCCAAAGCCTCTTTGTGCCTCTAAATGCTTTATTCCATTTATTATGAACAGTTGAAAACTTTCTAGGATAACATAACCACCTCACCACATTCTTGCTGAAGGTTTTTTTTTTTTTTTCTGAAGTTTTAAGGATACTTGCTGTGGGTTTCTTACCATTTCCTCCTCTCCCTCCACCCCCTCCCCACTGTGACCCTTGAGAATTGAGGAGATTCACTAGAAATAGCCTCTCTTAGGGAGTTTTTTCTGAAGTTATGTCTCCTGGTCTTAGGGTGAAATGGTCTGTGCCTCAGTATCACTGACTATAATGACTATAATGTCCTGATATATATATAAGAGCACAGTGCCTTCCTCTATCACGTACAGCAAACAAAGCCAAAGACATCTGTGACAAAAAGATCTAAGATACTGTGGTAGTGGCCATTAGAAGGTTGAACTCTAAGAGGTCAGAGACCTGAGGGAGGAAGCTGAGGGCAACTTTTGGCCTTGAGTTTTATATGAAGACATCTTAGATACTGTAAAGCCATTTTATATACTCTACCGTGGTAGAGCTTCCAAAGACTCACCTCATGAAAAGATCATTTCATGGATGAGAAGTAGAGTAGAATCAATCACTTAATAAAAAAAAATACCTCTTGTATCATGTTACATATTAATTGGCCCAACATTCATGCTGTATGGGCTGAAGCCCCTCCCCTGGGAGGAGGGCCTCCAGCTCCTCACCAAGAGGGTTCTTGGCTTCGTGGGGCAAAGAATTTCAGAGCAAGCCATTTGAGAAGGGGACAAAGATTTATTAAGTCTAGAAGTAAGAAAGGAGCTACTTCACAGACAAGCGAGTGGTCTCCCCTCCCAGATGAGGAAGAGGACCCCAATCTGCCCCTGACAAAAGTTTTGTGTTTTTTAAATTTGGGCTTATCATTTATGCTGGGCAGAAGTTTTCCCATTTTCTTTGGGAGCAATTTTAAGAATGGCTTCTTCGCCTTTTACTGTCAGAGGGAGTGGAGTCCTCCATGAGTCAGACTTTATGATTCTTTATGACCTGCTGACTTTAGGTTAAGACGTCAGCCTAAAACAAAAATGGCCTTATTTTGCTGAACTTGTCTCCTGAGCCTCCCTGTCTGCCTCAACACTCTAAATCTGCCTTTACTCAATGAAAACCATCAGAATAATATGCCTTTCCACATCTCCCCAAATGAATAAAATGTTTCGGGGGTAGAATTGAGGTTTGCATGTGATTAAGCTGGGGGACTGTGAGGCCCTTGTGAGGAAGGAGTAGGGCTGAAAGGAACTCGCTGGGGACTCCTCCCATGGGGCTGTCTAAGAGTGAAGCAAGAGTTGGAAGTTAACAAGGGGTCAGACTTGGGTCAGAAGGAGAGGCTGTGAGGACAGGAAGATGGAGTGAGTGAGAGCAGGGAGGTGGTCAGCCAGAGCTAGTTCTGGAGGGAAGGGGGTAGGAGGTGGAAACATTAACATTATCCTTCAAAGGAGGACAAATGGAAGACTAACTTCTAATTTGTTTGCTATGTTCTGAGTGTTAAGTTTTCTTTAACCAAAATTTTAAGAGTTTACCCTTTTCAAAGTCATGCGGATATTGGCTTGTATTTCAGATGTTGCCCCATCAGACAAGAAGCTTCTCAGAACTTTCTGGTAAGCTGGAAACGTTCTGGTAAGGTTTTATCATTGTTTTTGAAGGGAATTCAGAGGGGTGCCTGGGTGCCTCAGTGGTTGATTTGGCTCAGGTCGCGATCCCGGGGTCCTGGGCTAAAATCTTACTTGGAAGAGGTCATTGAAACCCTGTGGTCCTGTAAGAGTAATAAATACACTATTATATCTAGAGAACGAAGTTGCTGGCCGCCAAGAATCATTTTCCCTACCTGATACATTGTCTTGTGGATCAATTGGAAATGACAAGGGAGAAAAAAATAATAGGTGTGGCTGGAGGCAGAAGATGAGGGCGTGGAAGGGCCTGGCTACCCACAAAGCTGACCCTGCACAGATCCCTTACCTATCAGGAGACATCCAAAGTTGTTCCTCAAAGAGCCCAAAGATTTCAGACGGGAGATTTGATGCAGGATGTAATTACCAGCTTTTATCAGTAGATGGTGATGTACTTGCAGCATGTGGTCCCAGGAAGAGCAATTGGAGAATGAGTTCACCATGGTCCTGGTTATTGTTACCAGTGTTAATGCTCTTTTCTCTATGTATAGACCAAACAGAGGACTCCACCAGGCTGGCAGAGTTAATGAGTGCCGGAAATGACCACAGCCCAATAACTCTCCCCTTAAATGACCAGCCTGAGCCTGTCGTGAGTACGGGATGCTGGGTACAAGATTCTGAACTGTGTCCACCAGGATGCTGGCAGGTGGACGCCACCTCTCCTGGCTTATAGTCTATTTTTTTTCCCCTGCCCAACTATTTCTCCATTTTTTGGGCCATCATCTCCTTTAGATTACTTTTGCCTGACAAGTTTATGTGTTCTCTTCTTTCACACAACTTGGCTTTTCCATGGATCGTGTGACTTGGCTGGCTCTGCCTCATTCCCTCACTTGGAATCCTGGAGAACAAGACAGAAGGAAAAGAATCTAATGTTTGGAGTCAGATCTGGTTTTCACTTACTAGATATAGGAATTTGGGAAAATTAATATCACTGGGTCTGAGGCTTCTCATCTGTAGAATGGGGGTGATAGCTGGTTCATATTGTAGCCCTCTTAGATACTATATGTGCATTTTGTTTTTAATCCTGATATACTGCTTGGCATATGCACGTCCTCAGACAAGTCCTCACTTTCTTCTACTTAATCACATGGACCTTATACAGAATGATAGTGTTTTTGGTGCTGAGAAATCATCTCCTGAGGGCAGACATCAATTTTTTGGAATAGCCAACGGCCATCAGGAGCCAATTCTAATGAATAAAAAGCCTGGTATCTTAGTATTTAGCAGAAATGCTGAAATGCTTTTCTTTGGAAATGGAAAATAAAACTCCAAAATAATTTTAAAAGAGGGACTTCAAAGTCACCATAATTTTTTTTTTCTACAGCAAACAAATACAGCAGATAGTTCACCTGAAAAATTGATACTGGATGACCTACAACAAGGTAAACTTTTTAAAAAAATCTATTGTAAGACTTGAGTAGTATGTTTACTTGGGAAGCTCAACAATTTTTGTTTTTAATTTTCATGACTGGAAGTCACTTCAGAACATGAACATTCTTCAGATTTACAAGAACCGTCAGTAAGAAGTCCGAATCCTAAATTAAATGACAAATCTAGGTATGAAATTTTGAAAATTAATAAACCATGTTGATTGCTGTTAATATGACTGGTTAGTGTATAAATCAAATGTCTGGACTTTCCATCTTTTGTGCATCTGGCCACACCCCACATGAGGAGAGAACATTGCATACAGTTTTCTGTAGAATGATTTGAGCAGTGCTGGGATGTTCTCCTGACCTGTAGATTTCTACCATTATACCCCCAGTGATCTGTGGGGTGATGTATTTTTCCCTAACCAGGAAACATGTATCACCTGGCATTAATTTCCTGCGTTTCTGTGGAGGCCTATGAAGAATAGGTCATAGGACAAGTAATTTTTTATAGCTTTATTGAAAGAGACAATTGGAATAAAATGTACATAGTTAAAGCATGCAATTTGAGTGTTGACATGTGTCTACACCTAGGCCATCAGCACAGTCGAGATAATGAACATATCCATCATCTCCAAGATGCTCTTGCCCCTTTGAAATCCTTTTCTCCTGCCTTTTCTCTCATCCACCTGCCCCTTACAATCACGGATTTGCTTTTTGCCACGATAGATGGGTTTGCAGTTAAAAAAAATCTGATATAAATGGGATAAAAGAATATGCACTTTTTTCTACCAGCTTCGTTCACTCAGCATAATTATTTTAAGATTTATCCATATTGTGTGTATCAATAGTTAATTCTTCTGTATTGCCAAGTAAATACTTCCTTCATGGATATACCACAACTTGTTGAACCATTCACCCGTCGATGGTTATTTGAGTTCCCAGTTTTTTGTTATAAGTAAAGCACTTGAGATCGTGTATAAGTCTTGGTATGGATGCATATTTTCTCTTGAGTAAATACATAGAAGTGGAATGACTGGATCATTGTTGGTATACATTTAACTTCCCCCAAGCCTCCAAAACAAAAACACTGCCAAAAGTTTTTCTAAAGTAGTTAAATTATTTAACATTCCCACCAACAGTCGTTGAGAGTTCTAGTTGCTCACATTCTTACTACTACTTGCTAATGTTAGCCTTTCTAATCTTAGCCATGCCAGTGAAAGTATAGTGATATTTCATTGTGGTTTTTATTTGCATTTCTGTAACGACTAATGGTGTTGAGCATCCTTTCATGTGTTTATTTAATATCATTCTACATCTTCAAATCTTTCACTATTAAAGATGGATTATTCGCTTTAAGAGTTCTTTATTCTACACACAAGTCCTTTATTAGATATGTTTTACATGTATTTTCTCCCTGTCTTTGGCTTACTTTTTATTTATTTATTTATTTTTTAAGATTTATTTATTCATGAGAGACAGGCAGAGACACAGGCAGAGGGAGAAGCAGGCTCCATGCAGGGAGCCTGACGTGGGACTCGATCCTGGGACTCCAGGATCAGGTCTTGGGCCAAAGGCAGGTGCTAAACTGCTGAGCCACCCAGGGATCCCCATTTTTGTCTTTTTTTTTTTTTGCTTTCATGCTTATTTTTGTTAGACACCTAATATCCTTTACTAAATGCATTCAATTCCATATATTACTCAGTCTTCACTATATCCCTAAGAAATGTATTATTTTTACCTCCATTTGCTAAAGAAGGACATGAGGACAACAGAACTTACTCAAGGATGTATCCCTAGAAAACATTGGTTTAATTTTAACAGTGTCTTTTAAAAATAAAAGTTCTTAATTTTTATTAAGCTCAAGTGATTTGTTTCCAATTGATTTTTTTTTTCGTTTATACTTTATACTTTTTTTTTGTGATGTGCTTAAGAAATCTTAGGCAATGGGATTCCTGGGTGGCTCAGCGGTTTAGCGCCTGCCTTCAGCCTGGGGCGTGATCCTGGAGTCCTGGGATCGAGTCCCACATCAGGCTCCCACGTGGAAGTCTGCTTCTCCCTCTGCCTGTGTCTCTGCTCCTCTCTCTCTCTCTCTCTCTCTCTCTCTCTCTCTCTCTCTCTCTCATGAATGAATAAATAAAATCTTAAAAAAAAAAAGAAAGCAATCTCAGGCAAAACTCATGATCAATTTCCCTACATTTCCTTTTTTTCCCCTACATTTTCTTCTAGGAGTTTTATAGTTTTAGATCTTATTTCAGTTATGGACCATTTTATGTTAATTTTTATATATTGTGTGAAGTAAGGGTTGAGGGTTTTTTTTTCCTTCTTTCTCTTCCCACCCTCCCTTCAATTTTCTTTCTTTCATATGGCTGTCCAATTATTTTAGATCATTTATTGCAACAACTATTTTTTCCTGTATTGAATTTTCCTGGAACCTTTGAAGAAATCAATTGATGATATGTATGTCGGTCTGTTTCTGGACCGTGTACATGCCCGCCTTGGAGATACTGCAAATTCAGTTCCAGATCATCACAATAAAGGGGATGTTGCAATAAAGCAAGTCAAATGAATTTTGGCTTCCCAAAAATACAGAGATTATGATTAATACAGAGATTATGATTACATTATTATTGTAATCTATTAAGTATGCAGTAGCATCCTGTTAGGCGCACTGTATATATATATTTTTTTGGTAGCAATAACCTATTTCTCACTGAGTTTTCAGTGAGTCATTACCTTTTTGCTGGTAGAGGCTCTTGCCTCCATGTTGATGGCTGCTGACTGGTCGGAGGGGTGGTTGCTGAAGTTGGGGTGACTGTGGCAATTTCTTCAGATAAGGCAACAAATGAGGTCTTCCATATTAATCGACACTTCCTTTCATGAACAATTTCTCTGTAGCATGAGATGCTCTTTAGTAGCAGTTTACTCCCAGTAAAACTTATCTCAAAGTTTGAGTCAATCCTCCCAAACCCTGCCTGCATTATTAAGTTTATGTGACATTCTAAGTCCTTTGTTGTCATCTCAACAATCTCCATAACATCTTCAACATGAGTAGATTCCATCTTGGAAAACCACTTTCTTTGCTCATCCATGAGAAGTCACACCTTATCTGTTCAAGTTTTGTCATGAGATTCCAACAGTTCAGCCCCATATTCAAGCCCCACTTCTAGTTCTCTTGCTATTTCCACCACATCTGCAGTTACTTCTCCACTAGAATCTTGAACCCTTCAAAGTTATCCATGAGGGTTGGAATCGACTTCTTCTAAACTCCTTTTAATGTTGTTATTTTAGCCTCTTCCCATGAATAATGAATGTTCTCACTGGCATCTAGTGAATGGTGAATCCTTTATAGAAGTTTTTCAGTGGACTTTTCCCAGATCCATCAGAGGAATCAATATCCATGACAGCCATAGCCTTATGAAATATATTCTTAAATAAGACCTGAAAGTCGAAATGACTCCTTGATCCATTGGCTGCAGAGTGAATTCTCTTAGAAGTCATGAAACAACATTCATCTTGCTGTTCATCTCCACCAGAGCTCTTGGGTGACCAGGTATATTGTCATGAACAGTTACATGTTGAAAGGAATCTTTTCAGGTCTCAATAGTGGCCATAAAATATTCAGTAAACCACGCTGTGAACAGATGTGTTGTCATCCACACTTTGTTTCATCCACTTTTTGACCACCTCTACCCGACCACCTTCCAACTTCCACCTCTGGTAACCACAAAACTGATGTTTTTTTCGCTATGAATTTGGTGTTGGTTTTTTGAAATACAATTAATATACAGTGTCCTGTTAGGTTCAGGAATACAATTTAATGATTCAACAATTCTATACATTTCTTAGTGCTCATCAAAATAAGTGTTTTCTTAGTCACCTTTATCTAAGGCATTCATCTCCCCACCTCCCTCCCTTCTGCCAACCACCAGTTTGTTTTTTATATTTAAGAGTCTGGCTTTTAGTCTCTTTCTTTGTTTCTTAAATTCAACATAGGAGTGAAATCATATGGTATTTGTGTTTCTCTGACTTCTTGCTCTTAGCATTGTACCCTCTAGGCCCACCCATTTTGTTACAAATGGCAGGGTTTTTTTTAATGGTTGGATAATACTCCAACCATAAAGTATACGTACTTTATACTTTAGGTATACACCATGTATACATGCTGTGGCACGTACATATACACCACATTTTCCTTATTCATCTATCAATGGACACTTGTGTTGCAGTTTTATGTTGGGCTTTTAAAAATTCCACATATAAGTAAAATCAAATAGTATTTGTCTTTGTCTGACTTATTTCACTTAGCATAATATCCTCAAGGTCCATCTATGTCATTGGGCATTGCAGGATTTGCATTTTTACGCACCACATCTTCTTTATCCATTCATCTGCCAATAGACAAGTTGTTTCCATAGCTTGGCTATTGTAAATAACATTACAGTGAACATGAGGATGCAGATATCTTTTCAACAGTGATTTAGTTCCCTTTGGATTTATACCCAGAAGTGGAATTGCTGATTCTTTAAATTTTGAGGAACCTCCATGCTAACTGTTTAACTTTCCATAGTGGCTGTGCAATTTACATTTCCACTAATAGTGCACCAGAGTTTTCTTTCTTCCACATCCTCACCAACACTTGTACTCTCTTGTCTTTTTGGTAGGAATTCTAACAGGTATGGGGTAATACCTCATTGTGGTTTTGATTTTTACTTCCCTGATATTAACCCCTTATTAAAATATGACTTGCAAATACGCCCCCCCTTTCTGCAAGTTGCATCTTTATTTTGTTAATTTTTTCTTCTGTGCAGTCCCAGTTTTAAAATTTTTGCTTTTGTTGCTTTTGGTGTTAACATATAAAAAATTGTTGGAATCTTGGAAAAATTGTTCCAAGACCAATGTCAAGAAGCTTTGTCCCAGTGCTTTTTTTCCCCTAGGAGATAATGGTCTCAAGTCTTATGTTTAAGTCATTAATCCATTTGAGTTAATATTTGTGAGTATTGTGAGAGTGATCCCATGTAACTCTTTTGCATGTGGTTATCCAATTTTCCTGCATCACTTGTTAAAGAGACTATTTCCCCATCAAGTGTTCCTGGCTCCCTTGTCAAATATTAGTTGACCAAATATGTCAGAATTACCTCTGGCAATCTTTATTCTGAAAACTATTTTGTATGATGTTAATATGGC